GTTCCTCTCAAACCCAGCCGGTCGAAGCAGATGGTCCTCTTGTCCTGATCCTGGTTCTGCTAAAGGTTTCTTCCTCATGAGGGAGTTTTTCTTTCCACTGTCGCCTTCATGCTTGTTCAAGATGAGAGTTCTGTGATGAGTTCAACTCAAAGCTGCTCCTCAGATAAATAATGTTAAATTACTATTTTATATATAAACATTTCTGTTCATTTCCCTGAGACGACTGCTGTTGTGACTTGGTGCTTTATAAATAAACTGAATTGAATTTAAACGTGATACAAGCAGTTGTTTCGTAGACCTCATTTTACATAGCGTGTAGCGTATATCTTAGCTCCTTATTTACGGTTTCTTTTGGCGCTTTGAGTATCTTGATAAGAGTAAGGCTCTATATAAGTACAGTTCATTCAATTCCATACTTTATATTTTGCTATTTTTGGCTGTAATTGGGACCCTGTGTACATAATTTCATTTCACCTCGTACCACATGTGGTGTAAATGACAATGAAGTTGACTTGATGAACATACGTTGTTGTAACAGCTGATCCTCAAAACAGACCATTTGTTTACAGTTGTAACTTTATCAATAACAACAAACAAGACAGAGACACTCTGTGTACATCCACGGTGTTCTTGACTTTTATTCATATATATATGTGTATATATATATATAAATTTATATTTGTATACTACGGCCACTGTTAAAACGTGACTCATCACATGATCACCTGTAAGTATAAATAACTTTTTTTTCTCTCTTGAAACCTGGTAAATAAACCACCTGAAAACAGTTGTGGGTCATTTTCAGCACCATTGAATAGTACATTCTCTATATTGCATCAGGATATAAAAATATACAGACGTAGTGTTTTGTCTCTTCAAAACATTCTTTCTGCGTTGTTCAATGGTATGAAACAAGAGAGGAAGAAAAGACGCCATACCGATGACGAGGGTTGTAACCGTTAGTACTTTCTGTTGTTTGTCCGTGTCAGATCCTGGCTGGACTCTCCGTCCATCCATCCATTCATTCACAGCACTTTCAAAGCATCAGTAGCAGCCACACATGAGAAAACAGATCAAATAAAACAGAAGAGGTTCTCCTCTGAAACGTTTTACAGTCACAGTGTCACCAGCCCTCCCGACCACCATCAGAGTGAAAGAGTTGCTAACAGAGTACTGGGAGAGTTGCAGTGCGATGGAAGGGAGAGCTGTGAAAAGCAGGCGAGCGTCTTCTTACAGTCAAACTCTAAGAAAAGTTTACGCACATCCCAAAGTGGTGATAATGTTCATGATGCTCTGCTAATCACTCTATGGCCCAAATGAACAACAACAGAAAATCATGAATATGAAAAAAACGTAAAAGAAACTAAGCAACAGGTGACTTTGCTTTCTGAAGCAAATGAGAATATTAAGAACAAGTGAAGGTGAAGTCAGGGTGAGTCTCAGTGCATAGAGAGGGGACGTCTGAGATGGGTTCACCTGGTTGGTCAGATGGGATTATTGCCCTGTGCCTGCCTCACACACATGCATGCGCTCACACACACACACACAGTAAACACAGATCCACCCGGATAGAGCAGGAAACAGGAGCAGTGACAGACACAGAGCTGGTAGGTTCCTGCGGAGTCCAGAGTGTTCTCCTCACAGCAGCTGGTGGAGTTCAAGCCTTCATGTGTGAACATCAAATGTCCAAAGACAAGTCCCAAACAGGCCACGCTCCAACAGCAGTCTCAGTTGTCATCTGTCCGTTCCTCCATCACGTGTCCTCCCCTCAGAGTGGTTCCACAGTCGTCCTTCAGGGGGCCTCACATCCTGGAGGAGGCCAGCTCATAGAACAAGACGTATGCGTCGCTGCTGCGCACTTGGCTGGACGACATTGGCGTTACTCTGAAAACACACAGGAGAACTGTTAACTCCATTATAACCACAGAGGTAAAATAAGGTGTGGTGGTGGCTAAGAGTCAGCTGCAGTGCACACTTTGAGTGGTAACGATAAGAACTGGGTTAAAACTGCTGAAAATTACTAGAGTCAACTCTGTTGGTTTGTTAGCAAAATATCCCAAGAATTACTGGACAGGTTTTAATAAAACTTTCAAAAACCTAATGAACAAACCGTTCAACATGGCAGCCACAGCTAATTAACCTTAGCCAGGTCAGAAAAGGCAGAACGATGTTACAGACACTGGATGAAGGCTCATGCACAACACGCCTCGGTGCGGGACTGACACGTGCTGTGGTCGCCTCGCTCCATGCACGACACAAGGAGGTGGTGACGGGCCTGAGACAGCCCACCTCTGATGTCCTTGACTCACTCTTAGATTTGTCCACTCATGGGGTGATCTAGGGATGGAACCGACTAGTCGACCAGTCGATTCTAAGACATCTTGCGAGTTTTTTAAATTTCATGTCGACTAGTCGCAGTCAGTGGGCGTGTCACATGATCAGTGCCGGGCGCTGGCTACAAAACTGATTCTTCCAAGCAGATGAAGGAGAGGAGCAGCCCAAGTCTTCCCAAACAGGTAGAAATTCATCAACAGTGTGGAAGCATTTCACTAAAGATGATGTTGTTTTTACTTTCATTTTATTTAACTCACTAAATAAAGTAAAAATAAAAACATGGGTGTGCACCACCGGAGCTTCCACTGTGCACCACCACCAGAGGAGAAGCCACCACCACGGTGGTTTATGTTATTTAGTGGATTCAATAAAATAAAACAAATTTTTGCAGCTTACTTTACTACTTGCTCTCGCCGAGATCAGATGCTTTTCCATCCCTCTCAGCTTTGCTGCTCTGTCTGTCTGTGAAACTGCTTCTGAACCTCTCTTGCATTTCTTCTGAACCATAATTATGGACTTGTTTTGATCAGTTGGTCCCTCAACTCAATTTACAACATTTCTTCGAAAGGAAGACAGGCTTTAGGCGAGCCGATTTGCCCTGTTGGCACGCACACAGCTGGATATGTCATTGACTTGGACTTGATGATGTGTCTCTGTTGTCATTTGTGGATTGTAAGGACGCATATTTAATTGGATTTTCGATAACTGGTTCCTGCTTTTTTGAATTCGGCTGGTTGCTGGTTTTATTTACAATCAAGGAAGTCGTTGGCAGCAAATTTGGACCAGATCACACTGCTTGCCTTTATGATGGCTTGATTTGTGCCTCGAGTACCCAGAGTCAAATGCTTTGGGCAGAATGGATCAGATCTCTGGGATTTTACTCAGTGACGTTCCATCGGTGTGGCCATGTAATTTGGACATTTCGGAACCGAGTCGACCAACACAGACTGAAGGTAAATGTTATTAAGTTCTGCCTTCCCCCAAAACAACTGTGTGTTTATCTGAATTTGG